GCCGCGGAGGAGCCGGCGCCGGCGCCAGCAGCGGCGCCGCCGCCGCTACCGCCCGCGCCCGCGCCCGCTGCGGCGGCTGCCCCGCCGCAGCCCACGGCAGCGCCGATCCCCGTCGCCCCCTCGGCGCCACTGCCAGAGGGGTGGCACGAGGCCATAGACCCGACCTACAACCACCCCTACTGGTACAACCCCTCCACCGGCGAGCGCTCCTGGACCCGGCCCGCGCCGCCTGCTCCCGCGCCCGCCCCCGCGCCCCAGCCGGGTGCGGGGCTGCCGCCCGGCTGGGCGCAGGGCGTGGACCCCGGGTCTGGGCAGACCTATTATTACAACGCATCGCAGGGCGTCACGCAGTGGGAGCCGCCCGCGGCGCCGGCGGCGGAATTCGAAAAGGCGGACACCTTTGAGGGCGCGCGGCCCGGCTTTGTCTTCAAGCGCGGGCCCAAGGGCGTCGGATACTACCGGGACCGCAGGCCGGCGGTGGCGGCGGCTGTAGCACCCCAAGCGCCGCGGCCGCTGGCCCACGCAGGCAGCGCGGCGGCGGCGGCGGCGGCGCCCCCCGCCGCCGCCGCGGACGACCGCGGGCCCCGCAAGACGCGGCTGGAGCAGATCGCCGAGGCGCAGGCGGCGCGCAACGCCGCGCTCCGCGGCGGCGGCGGGGGCGGTGGCGGCGGCGCCAGGCGGGGGCGGGGGAAGGGGGAGGAGGTCGACCCGATGGACCCGTCGGCCTACAGCGACGCGCCGCGCGGCAAGTGGAGCAGCGGCCTGGAGAGCAGCAGGGAGTGATCAACTGGGGATGTCTTGCAAGCACACCCCTTCGCAAGACTGGTGTAAGCCCGTCTTGTGCGTGTGAGTCCTTCTTGCATTGACGTGAGGGTCAATGTCACACACCGTTACAGCGTATTTCTGATGGGAGCACAGCTGATAGACATACAGGATTGTCCGAGGGAGCAAGGGGCCGGGCGTGCGAGGCAGGCGGGTGGAGGTCGGTGCGACGGCGGCAGCAGCGGCGCCACGGTTGTCCACCTGGCAGCGTGCATGACGTGCAGGCAGGGTTCCTCAGGATTAAGGACACATGCGCAGACTGGCAAGCCACATTCAACACATGCAGACCTGCTGCCGCCTGCCCCGTCGGCACTATATGTCTCACCGCTGCTGACGCTGAGTCGAGATCTTGGGCAGCGTAGATCTGCAGATCTGACTTGCGACCGACACCCTCCTACAGCCATAGTGCCATAATGGAATTGAGGTGATGTCGCTGACGAGGCTCAGATGGGGCAGCTCAACCTTGCCTACTGCTGAACTGCAGTAGGCTCAGGCTGTGCGCGGCGCCCCTGGAGGGAGCATACAAGCTGATGAAGCGTTGGCTTGGACACTGCCGTACGACACGGCCCACCACCCTCAGAATGCCCAGTTCCTGATTAGCCGAGACAGCTGCTCCTGGAGCAAGCCCTCCCCTGCTCTGGATTCCCACAGAAAACATCTGCCCCCCTCCTGTTGTGGCGGCTCATGCATTACGCTAGAGATCGCGCTAAACCTCGACGATGCAAAATGACACCGCAAACGGCGGACGAGCTGCTTGCTTTACATCATTCGCGCCGCGCCGCCGCCCCAGAACAAAGCCTGCGGGCGCAGCTGCAGATCACTTGTCCAAGATGCCGCGGTACGCCTCCCTCAGCCGCGCTCTGTTGACCTGGTCAATGCGCTCATATTGCGCCGCGCACGCGTTCTGGTGGCTCTTGACCCACTGCAGCCCGGGGTGGAACCCCAGCCGGCTGAACCCCACGACCAGCTGCACCAGCTGCGGCAGCGCCATGCGCCCAAGCCGCGGCAGCGTGGCCGCCGCGATCGTGCGGAGCAGAGGGGCGTGCCCGCCGGCCCAAGCCCGCTGGTTGGGGTGGGCCAGGTGGGGCATCGACCAGACAACTGCTGCCAGGTCAGCATCCGAGAAGGGGTGCTGGGCAGGCAGCGCCGGCGCCGGCGGGACAGGGAGAGTGACGCGGCCCGCGGCGCGCAGCGGCGCACGAGCGGGGCGCGCGGCGCCGAGCAGCTCGCCCGCGCGGCCAGCGAGCAAGTCGAGCCAAAAGGGCGGCAGCGGGGCGCGCAGCTTCGCGAGGGAGCACATCACCAGCCCCAGCTGCCGCGGCCGCAGGCCCGGCGCCAGCCGCCGCAGCGCGCCGCGCGCGGTGCTGTGCCATGGCGGCGGCGGCGAGGCGTGCAGCGCGGCCAGTGACGCGAGCAGCGTCGACAGCAGGGCTGCGTCCATGCGCGAATCCCTCCCCTCGGCCCCGCCGCCGCGGCTGCGCTTCGCCTCCAGCGCCGCTCGTGTCACTTCAAAAAAGTCTCTGAGCCAATCGCGCCCCGGCCGAAAGCGCAGCCGCGCGAGCGCCCATGCGACATTAGTCAGCTCCGTCGCCGCCAGCCGCCCCAGCTCCGGCCGCAGGAGCTGCAGCAGCGCAGTGAGCAGCGGCGCCGGCGCGCGGTGGCGGAGGCTGGCCAAGGCCCACAGCAGCTGCACTGCTTGGTGGCGGTTAAGGCGCTTGCGACGCTCCCAGGGGGCAGGCCGCGCATCTGCCGCCGGCGACGTCGCTTCGGGCTGACCTGCAGGCGCGGCCGCCACTGCTGCTGCTGCTGCTGCTGCTGCTGCTGTTGCTGCTGCTGCTGCTGATGCTGCTACTGTTGTTGCTGCTGCTGCTGCTGCTGCTGCTGCTGCTGCTGCTGCTGCTGCTGTGTTGCCAGTTGCCGCCGTCGCCGAGGCGGCATCACTATCGCTGCTGGGGTGCCCCGACAAGTCGCCCGCGGGCTCGTGCCCATCTGCAGCTGGCTGCTCCCTCCCGTTGACCCCCAGCTGCGAAGCGCACGGCACGACCGGTTTAGACGGCGCCCTATCCGACGGTGCCCCGCCCTCGCCCTCATCCTCGCCCGCCAGCGCCGCCGCCGCCGTGCCGCATGCGCCATCCAGCCACTCACCCGAAGGCTGGGCCCCCAGCACAGCGAGCGCCCATATGGAGTTGGCCAGTGCCGCCTCCCCAAACTGCACGTGCCGCGCCGCCGTGCGCCGCAGCGCCGCCTCCACTAGGGCTGCTGAGTCAGCGCGGCCGCCGGCGCGGCTGATCTTGGCGCACGCGTACAAAATGTGGGCCCAGTCGTTGGGCCAAAGCGCGTCCTCTCGCCGAAGCGTTGCGGAGGTCAGCGCGGCCCAAGCCTCTGCAAAGGTCGGCGAGGCGCCGCCGTGCTGCTGTTGCCCCTGGTGCTCCTGCTGCTGCTGCTGCTGCTGCTGCAGCAGCCGCTCCTTGAGCTCAGTCTCCTGAGTGAAGTGAGGAGGGTGTGCGGTGGCGACAGCGTCCTGCAACAACCCGCGATCCTGCAGCCCCTCCTCCTGCTGCTGCTGCTGCTGCTGCTGCTGCTGCTGCTGCTTTTGTCGCTGCTGCTGTAGCTGCTTCTGGTGCTGCTGTCGCTGCTCGTGTCCACTGCTCTTACCGTTTTGCTCTGCAGTCTCAAAAGCCTGCCGCCGCTCTGGCGCCACACGTCCCGACTGCACGCCGTACGCGGTGCGCAGGCTCGAGTACAGCGCAACAATTGCGTTGCGCCCGATGGCGTCCCCTTTCGACTCCAACTTGGCTAAGCAGCTGCGTAGAAGCTGCGCTTGCGCTCTGCGCGGGTCGCCGGGGTTGCTTGCTGCCGCCGCTTTCAGTTGTTGAGGGGCGACGTGACGTGGCGCTGGCTGACGATCCAGAAGCGCTGGTTGATGATGGTCTATCACACCAAATGCAGCTGCCGAGATGTGCGCGCCATACGTCACGGCCAGCGCGTCTGCAGCTGATGCGCCTGACGGCGGTGCGGCGGCAGCAGCGACGGCGGGCTGGCGCACCACCGTCGCGCCTGTAGCCACAGCACCCCAGGCCGGCTGTACATTATTAACAGAGAGATGAGGTCGTATGTGGCTGATCGAGGTCGATTGCCTGGCCTGCGTTGGCCGCTGGTTGCCAGAACTCAGCCAGCCCGCCGAAGGGAGCATGGACCTGGATGTATCTGAGTACTTGGCAGAAACATGAGATGCAGTACATGCACACCTCAAACGATATACCTTGCAAAGTCAAGCTCTACCGGTATATCAGATCGGCACGCGTGTTCAGGCATCATTGACACCCAGGCGCCCTCTCCCTGGTCGCAAACGAAGCAAATAGATAGTTGTAATGTCAGAGGATAATGAGAAGCCGTGGACGCGGCGGCTCCGCCAGCTGCGGGAACAGCGGGTGGGCAGTGACGGGGTGGCGCGTTACTGCTGTGCGCCCGCCGTGGCAGCAAGCTCCGCAACACCACGCGCGCCCCGCCGTGCACAGAAGACGCCGCGAACCCCTACCTCTCGTAGGACCAAGCCGAGGCCGCGGCAGCGGCCGCAGCGGCAGACCCCAGCCGCTCGGGTCAGCACCACAATCATCCGCAGCAGCCCGAGGTCATTCTTGATGGCGAGCCGACAGAGCTGCAGAAGCAGCTGGTGGAGTGCTACCGCAAGACGTTCCTGGTGACGGGCGCGGCGCTGATCGGCAGCGTGTTTCACTGGAACTATGGTGCGCAGCGGCGGGGCGACAGGGGCAGCACGCCCCCAGATGGAGCACCCCCAGATTCTCGGCTGCTCATCGCCGCGCCTGCTGGAGTGTGGGGGGCCAATCGCCAGCCAGCACGCGTTGCACGCGGCCGTACGTAGTTGTCCCTCCTTCATCACGCCCCGCCCTTTCTACGACGTTCTCATGGCACCAACAGTCGGCAAGTTGAAGGTAGAACAGGTGTTTGTGCCGCCGCGGGCGCAGTCGCTGCCGGCGGAGGTCGTAGAGGGTTGGACCCGCAGCATGCGCTTCAAGGAGGGTGTCCGTGCGGTTGGACGGCAGACCGTGTTTGCGACAGGTGAAAGCGTGTCTGCGCGCGTGTGTATGTGTGTGCATGCAGGTGTGCGGCGCCGAGGCGCCAGCGTGCAAAGTGCGGGCAGCTGCTGCCGCGCCGTCTCCCTCAGCCATGGCGCCGGCGAGCCGACACGCACATGTCGGTGCCGTGGATTACACACAGCTGGGTGAAGGGCTACGCGGGGCTGCGTGTCACTGCCCGTCCCCCCGCCCCTCCCAACCACCGTCACCACGCTCACACCACCACCAGGCGTCGCGGCGCTGTACTTTGGTGCTGAGCTGGCGTCGCAGCGCTTGAGAGGCGTGAAGGACTGGGCTAACACCGCCGTCGCGGGCGCGGTCGCCGGCGGCTGCCTTGGCAGCAGGCTGCCAGGCCCCTCCCGCGCCCGGGGAGCCGCGCTGGGCGCCGCGCTGGGCAGCGCGCTGGGCGCCGCGTCGGGGCTGGCGCTGCAGCAGGCGGAGGCGATGCTGCCGGATGCGCAGCAGGCGGCGCAGGAGCGCGAGCGGGCCGCGGCGGACGCCCAGCGGCGGCTGTGGGAGGGGGAGGGGGGCGCTCAAGGCGGGTGACACCCAGCCAGACGCCTGAGGCTCCCAGGCCACTTCGTTGAGTTTTGTAGGGCTGGTAGACAGGTGTTACACTGGTGCGTTGACATGGGTAGGGCGTCGCGACAGGGTTTGTGCGGGGGCTTTGATGGGTCCAGGCGTCGCGACTGGCTCCTTGGGGACTCTTAACGTGGGGACAGCAAGCCGCGCAACAAAGAAACATCCAGGCGGCCACAAAAGAATGGACACGGCGGCGACGGCTGCCACACGGGCGCGCCCGCCAGAATGGAGGCGGCGCGGGCCCGCGGCGCAGCCCGTGCCGCGCAAGACTCGACGCCGACCTGCTGCCCAGAAGCTGCTGCGGGGACTAAGGGATGAGCGAGCAAAAAGTGTACGGGCGGGACGTGCACGGCGGGGCTCCCCGCAAACCAGGTCCGACCGCTGCCCGCAGGTTGCGCCTCTCAAGCAAGGCCGTTCACACACGCGACAAGAGCACATTGCTCTCTCACACACGACTCCACGCGCGCCGCCGGCGCGGCGCGCCCCTGCCGGCTGCCGAGGGGTGGCCGCGCAACGCGCGGCGCCCTGGCTGCCACTCGGGCCGCCGCCGGGGCGTCAAGTCAGCGGGCCGGTTTGCCGCCAGGGGGATCAGAAGCGGAACGGCCCGACCTTGGCCTTTGCCGTCACCTCCCGCAGCTCCTCCACCAGCTTCCGCTCCTCGCTGCTGAGTGACTTGGGGATCGTCACCCGCACGTGCACCTGGTGGTTGCCGCGCACCCCCGGCTGCCCGAGCCGCGGCACGCCGCGCTTCGCCATCAGCAGCGTCGTGCCCGGCTGGGTCCCCGCGGGAATTTTGAGCTCAACCGGGCCGTCCACTGTGGTGATCTTGACCTGGGTGCCCAGGATCGCGTCCACATAGGACACCTCCGCATCGCTGTGGATGTCCACGCCCTCGCGCCGCATGTCTGGGCTGTCCTTCACGTTTATGAAGACGTACAGGTCGCCCGGCGGGCCGCCCTTGATGCCGGCGCTGCCCTCGCTGCGGACGCGG